ATATTTGTTCAGTAGTAGTGAATTAAACACAAAATTAACTAAAATCTAAAAAATATATACCGGTAATAATTATCGCATATTTTCATTTAAATTATTATAAAGTATAAAATATAAGGTTTAATTACAAGTATGATTAATTAATGTTTAATTTAAACAATCAAAATCACTATTTAATAAACCTTAAATCCTAAAGGTTTTGAGCCAATTGTATGACAGCGTAATCACCGATTTCTCTCCAATTGACGGCAAATGTAGCGATTTTTTGCAGCATTTGCTTGTCTTCAACACCGACGACAACATCGGCTTTAATGGTTCTGAGGGTACAAAGAGTGGTCGGAAGGAAACCACGCAAAGAGACAGAGAAAGGCACTGAAAAATCCCACATCAGATCTGCGGTCAGTTTCCTATAATTCAAATCTCCCTTAAATATGATTAGATTTGCTTCGCTTAAGCTGTGGTACAGTTTCGGTGCTATTGTTTTCATTTGGCTATAATCGTGAGAAAGTGTCCAAAACTGGTCATCAATTATTACCCATTTTCCAGTCTTCACATTATTAATCCATTTGGCACTCAATTCTTTAACAACAGTTGAATGAGTGTTGGAATCGTTGGCCAAATAATTTAATAACCAGTGAAAGTCTTTGGTCATCACATCCGACACAAACCATGGCATAGATTTTACGTAAAACTTAACACTTTTATCACTCAATAAACCAATTGATTCCAAGACCTCAACGAGACATAAGTCTGTAAACAATTCAAAGCCAGAGTTGTCTAAAACAATAGCCAACTGAAGACCAGTGCCAGCCGTTCGTAAAGCGTTCACGTATTGCCACAACTCTTGGATATGATTATCGATTATAAAATGCCTCATTTTAGCCAAATCTTGGGTCGGATCCACGAATTGATCGGTTTGTTGGCCACAAGAGAGCGAAAGATCGCATTTGTTTCCCCAAAGAGATAACTCTATAATTCGGACGAATTCTAACTCAATGTTCAAATCATTTCTCGCGGACAATGTCTTTACGTATTGCGCCAACACTTCCACAGTTTTGATGGACGACGTAAGCGCTTCTTCTTTAGAGTCATTGAACGGATCAAATGCGTTGACATGTCGTGTGATTTCAAACGCTTCCCGTATTCTTCGGTAGAAATAGCACTCGGAGTAGAGCCACGAACTGCTAAACCATTT